TATAATAATATAAAAATATTTATTTAATATTATTTTCAATTGATATATTTATATATTAAAAAATATTTGTTATAAATTTTAATTACATAAAATAAAAATTTATCATGCTCATTAATTTTAAAAATTAATTTTTTAAAATTTTAAAATTAGTTTTGGTCATAACCGGTTATCATATGTAACTGATTTTTAAAAATTAAAATCAGTTATGATAAATTAAAACTGATTATAAAAAAAATAGTTATAAAATAACCATATGATTAATTTTTATAGCTATTTTTAAATAAACGATTATTATAAAACCACTTAATCTAGTTAATTTTTTTTTATAACTGATTATTTTTGTCGCACCTATAAGCAATTATTCAAATGTTTTCTCTTTATATGGTGATTAGGGCTGCTATAAATTTTAAACATCGATCTGCCGCTAAGTTTTTATAGCGTAGCTTTTTCTTACCGAAATAATTATGTATTTTTATTTTTTAGTAATTTCAATGTTCAATTTTTAAGAATTAAAAATGTGTTTATTTTTTAATTAATATTTGAGTTTATAAACATATATTAAATATTTATTATATATAATTAAAATTTATAATAAATTATATATACAAATAAATATTATATTTCAATATATAAGTTGTATTTAAAATTTATATAAATAGATATTTTAAATAAATAAATTATATTCTATATTTATGATAAATAATATATTATTATTAAATAATATTATTTTTATTAATAATTTATTTTAAAAAATATTAAAACTTAATTCATAAATAACTGTGATAAATAAAAAATGGAAAGATTAAAATGTAATCTTTAACTATTTCCTTTTTATAAAATATGAGATCAAGATTTGAAAGCACGTATTTAAGGAGTCGTGTTTATTTCTCAGTTGAGTCGTTGTTTCAAGCTTATACATCTAATGAAAGGGAGAACCAACGATCTGAAAGGAAAGAAAGTAAAGAAATTACACGAAGGTATTATATGGGTTCATCCGTTCATTCATTCATCCCATACAATACAATAGTGATCCAATAATAACAACAACCATGAATTAAGCTCTTCTACAAAAACAAGACATATATGAGAATGAAATTAGATGAAGCTTAATTACTCGACACACGCATTATTATTTAACTAATTAACAGTGACTTTTCCGACCATACCAGCACCTTGGTGAGGCGCACAGTAGAAACTGTAGGTACCCTTGGCATCCAAAGTAACACTGTAAGTCTCGCCAGGCCCATTAAGGTAGTCTTCTTCCGACATAGAGATTTTCCCCGCATCGACGCCACCGGGAATCTCGTCCTCGTCGAAGACAACGTTGTGTGGGAAACCAGCGTTGTTCTTGAACACGATCTTCTCCCCAGGGGCCACGGAGAACTCGCTGGGAACGAACACGAGGGAACCGTCGCCGCCACCGAGCAAGACTTCGATGGCCATGGCGTTGCTGGCGAGCACTGCGCTGGCGGCGGTGGCCACCACGGCGACTCCCACGTCTTTGAGCGAGGCCTTGATGCCGCCGAACCTCGGGGCCTTGACGGCGGCGCTGACTTTGGCTGCGGTGGCTCCGGTGGCCTTGAGGCCGGTGAAGGAGGGGATAGCGACGGGGGCGGAGGGGACGGTGGCCATGAGTACGTGTGGTTGGTTGAAAAAGAGTGTGGGGGAATCAAAATGGCGACACGGAAGGGGTGTTTCTTTATAGAGTGAGGGAATGGAGAAAGGGTGTGGATTGGTTTATGTGTGGCTGAGATGCGAGGAGATACAGTGGACGTGAAAGTGGGTTATCTCATCATCTTGTCACCATTGCTGCCATTGGTTGGATTGGATGTTATCCTCTGACGTGGCATGTGAGGTACATATGCATTATGCACGTAAGGGAGACACTTATTTTATTTTATTACATTTCCATTTTTTTTTTTATGATCTTACTATTTCAACTTTACTGATTTTCTTACTTTATTTTAAATGTGTGTTTTCTGTTCATTTATTCATATGCTATATTGCATTTTATTTTTTTTTAAATTCTAACGTGATGTTTTCATGAACATGCACATCAGCACCCTCTGCCCACCCATTTTTGGGTACAATTAGAAGAGATTCCTTCCTCGCGTGAAACTCTTCGTGCCAATGATAATTACATTGTCGGGAGTTTGATTAGATTATTGTCTAATGAACTAAAATTATCTGTGGTGAGATAACAAATAGTCATCTCAATATATTTTTTTTTTTGTTAAATATTGTATTTAACTAACGAATCAATTAAAATTAAATAAGTTTTTAGTTCTTTAGTTTTTAAAAATACAATTTTTTTTCTTAAACTTGGTATGAAATTTTAATCCTCTATTAATATTTTTTACATAAATTAATTGTTGAGATTAAATCTTGTTTATTAATAATAATGTGCGCCAATAAGTTATGATTAACTTGATTGTTGACATGCATGTTACTTTCTAGTAGAAAATTAAAGTAATAAAAATTATTTTAATCATTTTTTATTTCAAAAAAATATTTAACCATGAGTAAATAAATAAAAAATTACTCATATTGTAAGATTTAGAATTTATTGGACAGTCACGTGACTATTAATAATTCAATTAATTATGAATCATTACTTAATAGAAAAGACTTGACTATAAAGACTAATTTATATAACAAAAAATGGGAGATTTAAAGTGTTTTGGCATTTACACTTTAGATATTTAATATAATGGCTTATATATCACTTTTAAGTTTAACATAAGTTTTTGTTCTATTTAAATTAAGGTTTTTCTACATTAACTTATATATAACTTTAGTCACTTTAGACTTTTGGTTCAATATGATTGTAAAGTTTATCTTATAACATATGAAGTTGATTTAGTATTTTCAAAATCAATTATCACTTAAGATAATATTTGGTTAATATGAAAGACATATCTCATAAATGCAGATTAATCCTTTGTTGTTAGTTTTAAAATATTGCGTGAATCATGTTCATAAAAAAAATATGGGTGGGGAGGGATTGGGATAACTAGAACCATGAAGACCTATGTTCAATCCTCATTGTGATCATTTTTGTAATCTTTCATATTTTTACAAAAAAAAAATATCATTTTAAACTTGTGAATTCATTTAAACATTAATTATAGGACACATTTAAAATAATTTATTAAATAAATTTTTAAATCATCAACAAATCATTAAGGAGAAAAATAGACTCACATATTTTATATAAAAATTTTGAGTTTGAGCTTGTAAATAGAAGAGAAAAAAATGTGATTATTTTTTTTTACTAAAAATGACTAATTAAATTTTTCAAAAAAAATTATAAAACAAAATTGCTAGATACTTACACCAATAAATAAATTTTTGAATCGAAACAAATTACTGGGGAAAAACGAGATGAACCTTTAAAATATGGAAGGTTGTATCACATAAATAAACCCAAACTTTTTTCTTTTTTTTACAATCATGAAGCTAACCTTAATCTAGCCATTTCCACTTTACTAATGATAAGCCCACGGCCTTTCCGGTCCATGTACTGGGTTCCTTGTACTTAGAAGTAGGCCCAATAAGTTAGTCAATTTGAGAGAGGCCCAACCAAGTAGAGCCTGCATCACATTAAAGCATTCCTCATTCATGAAGCTCCCCAATAAAATTAAAAAATAAAAATTACCTTACTCCAAAATTATGGAGCTGAAATCATACGGAACGATCTTCACGAAAACTCGTACGATGACAGGTTTTAGGTCTAGTGATTCTTTTACAATGTCACGGAATCATTCTCCAATATTTTTAATTAATTGTATCTCGTATTAATATTTTTTCCTAAAATATCATAAATAAATTGAAGGAAAAAAAACAGCTGTAAAGTGTTAATATCTCAACACTTATTTTTAAATTTCTTATTTTATAATAAAAATATTATGTTAAAGAAACTAAATGAATGATTAATATATTATACAAAGACAATGTCACACCGAAAGATCTATTCTTTATAAAGATGAGTATAAATAATTTTTAAATATTAATTAATTAAGTGAAAAATTACTTAGAGTATCTCCTCCGTGGGATGCTTGTGTTATATTTTATCATTAAGAATTGATGCTACCATTGAATAAAAGCGATGTTTCACTTTTGTCATTTCAAGTTAGAAAATGATGAGAAAATGAAGGTTAAAGATATTAAGATTGTGAGATAAAGTTCCATAACATCATTCAAACTTTTCAAAACATGGTATGTGTACTTTCTACTGCTATTGATATCATTTAATTGGAAGAGATGACATGACAAGATTACATATATGTTGGTTTAAAATTGGAATTCAAAGTGTATAAGGGGTAGTGTATGTGTGAAAAATTAAAAGTAGTTATTTTAAAATTTTTATTATAATCTTTAAGAAATTATTTAAATTTAAAAAATTTATCAATTTGTTTTAATATATCTTACAAATTTGTTTTCTTTCTAAAATTAGGATGATGATATATTTAAATTTTGTATTATAGTTGTTTAAGTCTCTATATAAAGTCAAATAACCTAGATCCTAAATTCTAAGATTTTAAGTGTATAGATAATTCTAACGTGTGAATAAGAATTTCTCCAATAATAATGGTCTTCTTTTAAATAATTAACCTAGAAGTTTATCCAAAACATTATGAAGATTGTAAATAGAAGCTTTTCTATAAATACTTGATAAGAAATTTATTCAAAACTAAGCTCGATTAGTAAGTGCCTTTGCGTTTAACAATTCTCTGGACATTGAAGTAATGAGCACTAAATTTGAACTTTTAAAGTCAGTAACATTTATACAATGCCTAGTGTAAGAGATAAAACATCATTCAATTGAAAAAGGTAATTTTTTATTCTACGTGTTTAAACTTTGCATCACACAGAATTTTATTCGAATTTATGTTATTTAAAATTCATCCAACTCGGGCTTATTTTTTCCTTTTTCTTTTTTTTATAGAGCTCGTATTCTTAAATCAATGATTTTTGAGTCATAAAGAGCATAGACACAAATTAGTTCAGTACAATTAATTATAGTCCAGTTGGGTCACGAGTTGTTCATTAACACATCATCACGTGGCTTTTATTCAATGGTAGTATATAGTAAAAAAAAATTTAACACACATAAGAGAAAGAGAGAACAAGAGAAAATGAGAGAACGAGAGAAAGAGAAAGAGAAAGAGAGAAGGCTGGAGATATTGAGAGAAAGAAAGAGAATGAGAGAAAATTGAACGATAGGAGAAAAAAAAGAGACATTGGAAGAAAAAAGGTGTAGTGTGAGTTGTGTAAAATTAGTTGTCAAAAAGTGAAGGTACTTATAAACAATCTTCATGAGAGTAAAAATCGTAAAAATATAATATGAGTTATTTATGAGTAACGTGGCACAGTGAGACTCGTTTAAAGTAGATGGAAGTTGCTTATAAACAACTCCCATTATAAATGCTCTTAGAGAAAAGAGATTTACGTACAAAAATACATTTTTAAATATTAATTAATAGGTGAGAAGCAATTAAATGAAAAAAAAAGATAAATTGGAAAATATTAAGGTAATTATTAAAAATATTTAAGTTATTGACAAAATTAATAATATTAATTAAGTTAGTCAACTTTCTTAAAAGTATGTAAATCAGTAAAAGGCGTTAGTATGTGTATTATAATAAAAGGACAAGTGTATAAAACATGAAAAAAGAAATAAGCAATAACATGTTATGAAAAAAGAAATAAGCAATAATATGTTAAGAAAGTAATGGACTATATTGGATTTGAATTTGTATGAATTTTTTTCAAAAAATATTATAAATAAATATAATAATATGCAATTATAAATTTATTTTAATATAAAAAGTTATATGATATTCAATTAATTTAGTAATATTTAATTAAGATAGTAAGAATTTTGTTAAAAGTTTATAAAAATTTAATAATATTTAATTAATATTTTTTCACTTAAAAAAAGATCAGTCTGTATTTAAAAACATAGATATTTTAATAAATTATTTTGAATAATATATTTTGTGAGGCTTTTTTAAGTAAAAGTTATATGTAATTCTCTTTTCCAACAATCTTACAAAATTATTTGAGATTTCACATGACTTTTTTTTCTCTCTCTTAAATCTTCTCTCTAACCTTGTTTTTCTCTCTCTTTCTCATCTCTATTTCCTATCTCATATTCTCTCTCCTCTCTAGTCTTACTTCTCTTTATTTCTCATACATCTCTCTTGTTTTCTTTTCTATCTCATTTTTTCCTACTCTTTTTATTTATCCCTCATTCTCCTTCTCTCTATTTTTTCTACTATCTTTTTTTTATATATATAATTTATTAATATTTGTTTTTTTAATTATTAAATATTTTATATTGTTAAAATTTTAAAATTATTAAAATTTTAAAATTTTAATAAATTTTTAAACATATAATAAAAAATAGTTTTATATATTATGTATTTAAAATTTAAGAAATTTAAATTAAATTATCCAATCAAAACAATTAAAATTTCAAGTATCTTAATTTTTAAATATTCTTATTCAAACACAGCTTAAGAGAATTCTTTTAGGCTATTTATAAAATTAGTACATGAAATATACTCTCAAAAAATAAAAATTAAAAATGATATTGAAAGATTATATACAAAGAAATATTACTTAAAAAGATATGAAATTAGAAATAATTATTTAGTAAGAGATTAAAAAAATAAATATTAATTTTATTTTTCTTTATTCAAATCTTA